TTGTACATCACTGAAATGCTCAGTCTTCGACTGACATGAGTAAAGTGCTATAATCCACTTGAGGCAATAATCAAAGAAATGCAAGAATGAAAACTGAAAATCAGGGGTGTCTGTATGAAAGAAGTCAAGTCAGTGCCACAACCACGCGATCAAAGCTTCACCCCCTTTTAATATGTGTAAACATTTATTTGGTTTTGATCGCATGGCTGTGGGTGCCATCTTGACTTCTTACACACACACACACACACACACACACACACACAAATACTCCACAGATACCTCTGCTGAAAATGAATATTACAAGTCATAGGCAATTAAAAGGATATAAAGAATATAGGCAATTGGAAGTAAATTGGAATCTCTAGTAGAGTGACTCCTAGGAAAATTACACAAGTATTGTTAATTGTTGGGTAAAAGATGGAATTTTCAGGTTCAATCTATCATTCTTGCGTGCAGAAAAACTACATCTATTAAAATTCTCTTCTGCATAATTTCTTTTGAATTTGTCACTCTAATGTTTAGTGGACATTTGGAAGATCATGATAAACTTTCTTTTTACTGTGAAAGGCACCTAGCAAATATTTGTGATTCAGTTTGCAATGGTCAATAAACTGAGAAAACTTCCAATCTTTCAACACAGGATGGAAAAACCATATATTACTCCTTACCTGCCTTATAACAAGTGATGTAGCTTCATCACTTCAATCATGATCTCAATTAATACAAACGAAAATTACAGAAAAATAAACACACACACACTTACTTCCTTGTTCACATAACTGTTGGGCTAAGGCATCCTTGAATATAATTTGACCTCTGTGAGTAGCAGTAGCCCTAGAAATAGAAAGAAATGTGTTGAAAAAAAGTACATAATTATATTACAGAACAAAAAGATCTTTTTAGGTAAAGAAACATAGTCTGTATCAGTGTTTCCCAACCTGAACAACTTGAAGATGTATAGACTTCAACTCCCAGAATTCTTAATAATGGCCATATTGACTGGGAAGTCTTGGAATTGAAGTCCACGCATCTCAAAATTGCCCAGGTTGGGAAATGTTAGGTTATATAGGGTGGATATAAATACTACAGCAATTCAGAGACTACTGGAGCTCAGTTCTTGTTGAGAAAATTCTTCCTGTAGCATTAAAAAAAAAAACCCTTCCAAGGGTGTCTCTGTGTTTATTTTCTGTATTCTTAAACTGCCCTAGTGGTTGTGATGCAGCCATTGTCAAAAGATGGCTGGTTCGCTTTCTTGTTTATTTCCTTGTCTGTAAGTAGCCAGGAGCCCAAATTTTACGTAGAGGTACCCTGTACAGATGAGCTCATGTGGAGACCCCAAGGGGCCTCCTTCACATGATCACGTAGCCTAGTGAAGGGTAGAACAGGTTGATCTTTTGTGTAAGGAGGGAGGGAAGGGTCCATTCCTCTCCCAATATCTTTATGCTCACCCACCAGTCCATTCAGCTGAAAACAACTTCTGTGCATCTCAGGCAGGACTGAAAGCCTTTTCTACATCCAGGCCAATCATCATAGGCATCCCCGGCGTTTTCCTTTTTGTCTTTTGACCCTGGCAGCTGCTTATTCAGACTGCTTTTGATATATTATTCTTCCGGAGATTCAATTTGACTAAGACCCTGTTTGATCTACCCCGTCAGCCTGAGAGTCTCTGTTCCTGTGCTCTCACAATCTGAACAAATGGCTGGGACTGCGGTGACCAATTATGGCCAGATTACAACAGCCACTTTAATTTGAAGACAAACTAGTCTATCCCTGAATCCAATACTCCTTCCCCTTCTCACAAGGAGATTTACCAATACCAGCAAGTACAACACACACACATGCACACACACTCATTCATTCATTTCCTTTTAGGTAAGATTGCCACATAACAAGTAAAGCGGGGAGCTTCATGCAAGTTTCTGAGTGAAGATGATGTGCATTTTGGAGTCATCTGTTCTGCCCAAAGGGAGCAAAACTTCTATCCCAAATAGATCATGGCTCAAGCTTTGCTTCAATTGAAACAACCCCAATACACAACTGTTTCTGTTCTATCATTTATTTGTTCACTGAACAGTAACTACCACTTCCCAAGGCACAATACTAGTAATAAAAACAATATAATCATATACAGAGGTTAATGGTCTGAAAATTAAACACTGGCTACAGGCTGAAGCACATGCTACAATACCTTTAGAACCATCTTAAGCAGAAATAGCGATAGCACGTACAGTCATTGTAACAGATAATTAGAATGTTTCATTGATCATAAAGTTGGATAACAGATTACAAAGCTAAAATGTAATCTGAACTTTTAAAATAATTTTAATGGATTGAATATGCTACTTCATTTGTATATGTATTGAAATATACATACCTAGTTAAAATGCACATTTTCATTTCAGCAGTTTAACTTGGGGAGAAATTGCAGCCATTTACTAATTGCTATATTGCTACGTGGGCCAAAAATTCTTGCTAATTGATTACAGGTCATCCAGTAATTCTATTAGTAAATTCCAATGCACCTTCTAACCAATAAATTGTTTGCTAACATTTTACCATGTAAATAACGTGATTAAAAATCAAATGATCAAATAAATATAGGTTAACTCTTGTTGAAGAAGAGTCAAGATAACTTCTACAAACTTTTTAGAAACTAATATTTTTAACATTCTTTGAGAGTATCATGAATATGTGGATAGAAGTAAGCTAGATCAAGTAGACTTTCCATAGTCAGACTTCCAAAAAAACTTTGTATAAAATGCTGCAAAAAATTCCTACCAATGTAGTATTAAAGGATAAGTGGATGGGTCCTAGTAAATGGGAAACTGTTGGAAGAAAGAGGCCTCTAGGCCTCAAAGAGATTTCATTTTTCAGGCAGATGACCACAGGACTACTGAACTGCAAAGGCACTAGTTTAGAAATATCTCTTGGAACTTATGAGTTCTGTGTGCCTTGACATAAATAGGCCCATTACCTCTCACCCTAAATAATGTGAATCTCTATGTCAGGATGGTGACAGGCTGTGGCTTTTATTCCCTGTAGCTCAGCTGCATGGAAAGATGAACTGATCTGGAGGCTGCTGGACTTCACGTACTTCTCTTTCTCCCTATCTGTAGATAACACCTGCTGAAATTACAATCTTCACGGAAAAAGGTGACTGCACCCCAATATGGGCAGCGAAGGAGAAGTGAGGGATGTTGAAGAGAGGGCCTCTACATGCTGGCTATGGAGTTTTCATTGGCCATGCTCCCTGAAACATGCTGACATAAGGAGATACTTACTTAACACACAGATGATATGTTTTTATAGAGGATGTAAGGACCCTCTTGAGACATGAGGTTTTGTCTCTTCAAGAGCAAAGGCCAGATGAACCAAAAATGGAACTTTTGGGGCTACATGGCAGACAGTATGTCTAGAGGAATGTAAACATTGCATTTTCCACAATACAGAGAGACATCCTGCATGTAACAGCACAACTTTTTTCAGGCACAGAAACGAGCTTGGTTGCCTCCAGATGCATGGATTCAATTTCCAAAAGTCTTTGTTGTGAACGCAGAGGAGAGGAGGAGAGAATGAAAGAAAATAGTGACTTCCCGTCCTGCTTATACTTGACTGCAATCTTCAGTCTGTCATCAGTACCCAAGCAGACCTAGACTGATGCTGTCAAAGTATTTGGGGTGCTTTGACAAATGCATTCATCCTGAATTTCATCTGATAGTCATTCTTTCAACTGGTCCAATACCTGTTTGAAGCAACAGATTTCACAGATGGTAGTCACTTGCTTGACTGCATCCTCAAAGTTAGAGCTCAAGAATGCTACAAAATTAATGTAGTTGTTTAAATCTGGGTTGGTAGGTTCTTAATAACATAATAAAAGGGGGTAGGTACTTAACAAACATAATAAAGGAGGTAGGTACTTAACATCAAAGACTATGACTCCTGGGTCTTGGGCCAAATCTGACAGGAGGGCCACCTGTAGTGGCAGATTCTGTTCAACCTGCTGAGTTAGCTAGTTCATCATCTGGGATAACTGGACATATAGGCTGCCACTTGGTCCTGCTACTGGAACAAGGCACTGGTGACTTGAGATTGCTAGATAGTTGCTTGAAAATGCCCAATTTTTACTTGGTTATGATGTTCATGTGACACATCTGATTCAAATGAAACAAATTTAACCCCAAACAAAGCCAGGTTGCAAGTCAAGTGTGCTTGAGAATAAGGCTTAGTGTGTTTGGAAATAGAGCCAGTGTGTCTTTCAGGACTCTGCACATTATAAATGGCCCTAGAGGTGCAAAGATACTGACCAAAACCTCTTGAATGTTTGCTACTCACAGCAAAACTTAGTAGGCCTTTGATAAATTTAATCAACTACAAGGAGCAACAGTCTCAGAAATTGGGGTAGTAAATCAAGAAAAAGGGATATTTATTTACAAAATCAGATTAAAGAAAGTCTTCCAAGAAAATACAAAATATGAATGAGCCAACAAAACTAATTTTTCACTTCTTTGAAATGCAGTAGATACAAAGTGCACCTCCAGGTACTACAGTATTACTATAACTGGAAATTTAATTCATCAGAGGATAAATTTAGTTCGATTTTCCTTTGTGAAGAAGAAAATAGTTTTATTACCAACAATACAAAAATAATAGATATAATGAAAATATTCTGGATTATTTAGCTGTAAAATACCCCAGCACTCATGCAGAGAACAGAAAGGATGGATCGTATTTCATGTACTATAATTCAGTTAAGTTGCCCTGCTGGTTTCAAGACAGCCAGACATCCAAAATATTTTTTACTAGAACCAGAGGTCACCCAATGAAATTAAATCTTGGAAGAATAGGACATATACACACAAAATTTTTAACACAACTTGTAATTAAACTCTGGAATTCACTACCATGAGACATGGTGCTGGTTACCAGCTGGGCTGGCTTCAAAAAAGGGTTGCATCAATTCATGGAAGTCATGGAGATCCCAGCTATTAGCCTTGATGGCAGTGTGATGGCCTCTGAAGGCCACCTGCTGGAAGACTAGCGGGCTTCCTTGTGGCGTTGGTTGGCCACTGTGAGAACAGACTGCTGGATTAGATGGGCCAGGGGTCCAATCCCACTTATGTTCTTATGTCATTACATAAAGGATTAACTGCAGCATCAGATCATTGAAAAATGAACAATTGTACCCAGTGGCTTGGACACATTATATTTTTAATGCAAAAATCTCTATTCTAAAAAAACCTTGCATCATAAATATTTTGTTGGGGTTTTTTTACATGTATTTTCCTTGTGATGGGCTGAACAGAGCTCATCACCTAACTCAAATATTTATTCTTTAGTGTATGAAAAGAAAATTCACCAAGAATCTTTACGACCACAAACATTTGTGAGGGAGCAAAACACTCCACTATAGTACATACTGGAACACTTCTGAAAAATCATCTAGTGGCTCCCTATGCTCAAAAATTCCCACAAAAACCATTTGTTTGTGAAAGATGCACCTGAAAAATAAATGTTTACAGAAGTTGTATACTGAAAAACAGCATCTGGGGATACATATGCTAGAGTTACATGCAGAAGCAGCTGCATTTTTAAAAAAGAACTTGCATCAGGGAAATTTATATTTTAAAAATCAAGCAATTCGGAAATGTTTTAAAAAGGCCACAAGGAAATTTACAGGAAACAAGTATTTTGAGGAAATTTGTATGAAAAAGCACATAATAAAAATTGTGCACAAAAGCATTACCAGCATTGTAAACGAAAGCCACAGATCTGTTTAAAGAAGACTTTTTAAACTATCAGACCAGAGCTGTGCCTTTGTAACACAGACAATAAAA